TGATGATATGATACTTTACATAGAAGACCCAAAAAAGTCCGCCAAAAGAATGCTTAAAGTACTGAGGGAAATACAGCAACCTGTGCAATTTGTCAGCCTCCGTGTGAACTATTATTCAAGGCAGTCCACAGGTGTGATATAAGATCATGCTACAGTCCTTCTGGTGGTGTCACATCTTTTCCATGCTTTTTGGCAGCTCTTGAATGAAAAGCCAGTAAGAGTTGAAGATCAGTGCAGAACAGGAAACCAGGGTAGTGCTGTCCAGTCTGACTCCAGAGTCTAAGAGGTACACAAGTCTGAGAGGCCCAAACATCTCATCAGTAACTGGGTAAGAAGTTGATTTCTTTCAGTTTTGGTGTATGATTGTTATCCAACAGCTACTAAGGGTCAGCATATAAATACATTTTATGTTTCCTGGACCTACCAGTCTATAGTATGGTTAGTTGTGTATTTTGGCCTAGGAGTCCATGCAAAAATGCTCGTTCTTTACAGTGCCATGAATCATAGAGACTAGTAGCTAGGTAAGGTGCAGCACATCTGTAATCTGGCTATTTGGAAGGCTAAAGAGGGTAGATTGCAAGTTCAAGGTCACTATGGGCAGCTTAGCAAGACCCTGTCTCAAAATAAAAATTGAAAAGGGCTTTTAATGTAGCTCAGTGGTAGAGAACCCCTGGGTTCAATCCTCGGTGCTGAAAAAGAAAGTTTGGAAACTTCTACAGAAGGCATTCAATAAATATCAGTTTCCTCCCAGACTTTTTCTTTCATATGATTCAACCCTTCCCTCAAAATTTAGATGAATTCATCTTCTCGTTGGCAATGCTCGCTACTCTTTCCAGCCTTTGCAACTTAGCAGACCATGTGATTAGCTCTAGCCACAGGATTTGAACAAGTTACAAACTCGGCTCACTCTGCCCCTCAGCCAAGGTGTTCTGGAGTGAAGAGATGGAGCCAGGGGACCTTGATGGGCAAGTTACTGCCGAACACAACCTCCTTGGAGAGTTGCCAGACCTGCCAAGGTAAGCCAGAGGGGCTGGGGACTTGTTTGCTACAAATTAAGCACAGGCTCATCCAACCTTGACTAATACTCGAATTTATTTCTTCCCATTGTATTGTCCAGCATTCTCATCAAAATGATACCCTTACTATTGTTATGGCCAGCTTTAAATGATAATTAAATAATAATCAGTAGTGTAGAAAATGAAGCTTGAATAATATGAATGTGAAGGTGGAAAACTCAAAGAATAATTTTTACAGCATTAACAAAAACAGCCCAATCACAGTGTAGTACCCTATATCGCAAACTGGGGTCAAGAATACATTCATTCACTATTAAGGGGTGGTATAATACCTTAAGGGTCAAAAATAAAATTGTAAATATTTTAAAAGCATGATTTATTTTAATTACAAGGATATATATGGTGTGATGGAGCTGTTTTCATATAAAATGTTGAAACTAAGCATGCTCAACGAGATCCTGGCTGTATTCACAGAAATCTGGCTTTATATCCTAAATGCAAACACAATTTCAACACATACACATTTCCACATTTGGGAAATTCCAGACTGGGTTAGAGGCATGGTGAAAGTCAACCTTTCAATGGATATAATTTTAAACAAGTCTTAAAAGCAAACAAAAAAGTAGACATGATTTGAAAGGGGAAAAAAAGTTCCTCAACAATTCAGATATTAAAAGATTAGGCCAACTATGAGAAAATTAGGATATGAAGGAGAGTTACATTGACTGATTCAGCAATGATTGTGGGTACCTTTGTGTGCATTCCACAAACAGTACCGAGTCACTAGACCTGGTATCTGTCATGCAAGTGTAGGTGCTGCCTATTATCAAAGGTACAGATACCAGCACTTCTGCCCTTGACTTCTTGGCATTGCAGTCACCAAGGAAAACACAACAAATCCTTTAACCAAGCAGTGGCTTTAACAATGCGTCCCTCCCTCAGAGAAGAGGCGAGCAGACCTGCCTCAGTAGTGTGTGTCAGCCTCCGACAGACAGCTGGCCTCTACGCAGCCGAGCGTGGTGACTGGCCTGGCGTACCCTCTGTGCTGCAGCAGAAGGGCCTGTGCACTCCCTGCAGGGACAGATGAAGCAGTGTGGTGGCAGGTACTGTAAGACACACACTCTTAAGCACACAAAGAAGCACCCACCGCATGTGAAAAGATGTTCCCCACAACGGACAAGGCCAACAGGGCTATTACAACTCACTCTCTCAATAAATAAGTGCTCTGGGCCCAGTTTCACGCTTATGCAGTAAGAGGGAGTGGAAAGGAGATTCCTTCCAACAGAACAGTCCTTCCAGTATTCACCAAGGACTGCTTCCAGGAACCCCCCACCCAACTGTCTCCCCCAGATGCCAAAACTCCACCCCACTCAAGCTCCTTATGTAAGAAATGGTATGGAATTTGCATACAACCAACATGCATATTCCCATATACTTTCAACCGTCTCTCGATTACTTATAATTCCTAATGCAATGTAAATGGTACATTGTTAGTTATTTTACTATATTGTTGAGAGAATGACAAACAGAAAAGTCTGTGTGTGTCCAGTACACACACAGTTGTTCTTCCGAATATCTCCAATCCAGTCAGGGTGGTGACTGTCTCTGTTAAAGGGCCGTCCAATCAGGAGACCTACAAAGGCGACTGCAATGCAACGCATCAATGACTCCAAAGACAAGCGCATTAGGAGATCACAGATCTATAAGAATAAGTTTGCCCAGGAGAATCCTCAAATTTTCATCAAAGAGGAAAAATTTAAGCTGGATCTTGAAAGACAATGTCAAGAATTAAAGAGGTCTGAAACTTTACCCAATTAGCAAGCTAGCAATTTGGCCTACAAAAGTTTTATAAATGCTGACAGAAAACATGAGCTGCCTGCATGAAACAGAAACATGGTTACTACTCACAGCAAGGTCACAGCAGAGCATCAGCACTTTTTACGCCCACTCCCTGACCCTGGCTCCCAAGGGCCGAGACACACGCTTTACTGAGGGCTGCACTGCAGGTGAGAATCCCTGAGCTCAGGGAACCACCTTTTTGTAATAAGGAAGTGGCGAACGTGCCTGGCCTTTGCTCTAGAAGGAGACACGACCTCATCTCAAGGCTACTCACCATGTAAACATCCTGAAAGAGGTCTTTGAGAACAAAAGACACGAGGACTTCACAAGACTCAGACATCAAGACATCGGTGATTTGTCTCCTCACAAACAAGAGTCAGATGACACAAACACTCAAGGAGAATGAAGGAGGAAATGTAAAACTGAATGGAAAGAGTCCCGCACAAGGTAGCAAGATCAGCGCAGTCTGAGAGACATTTGCCTCCTGGTAAGGAAGTGCCCAGGCCCATGGTCTGCTCTCATGCAGAGAGAAGAGGCTGAAAGACTGCCCGGGATGCAGAGCACAAGACTCCTCTCTGTCTGAGGAGCTGGAGTCTCTCTCAAAGATCGAAGCAGTGAGAACAGGCAATGAGGAATTGGAAAAGAGAAAATAAACCCATCCATTAAGTTGATTAGATCATTGAGTACAGAAGAAATACAGGCTGTAAGTCTTCATTCACAATATTTGTGAAATTTTCCAGTGTGAGCCTTTTAATAGAAGGATGGAGAAGGAAGGGAGAGAGAGAAGACGGCAGCCTAGTTTCCCTCGTAAACATAGGGAGCCCTGACAATTATAGTCACAGAGGCATTAACCATCATACCAGGTAGCAGTGTGACAAAGACACTATTGTTGAAAGAGAGTGGCTTAAATAATTTGCTCATGGGCGTAGACTTTTGTTAGCAGACGAGGTGATATGAAGATCTGGACCAACAGTGAAGCACTGAGGCCCGGGAGCAGAGCTGGGGGCAACTGGGTGCAGAAGGGAGAGCTCAAGGCTGCACATGGATGAACTCGCAGGCCTGGGGGCGAGGCACGCCCCATTCACCTTGCCTGTTGAAATAACCTCCTACCCGGTCTTCACCTATTCTTGGCTTCTAAAAACTCTTCTTCTGGACTATAGTCATGTATGTAAAAATACAAATCCTCCCGTGCGATTCCCAGTTAAGAAATACATGCTTCTTCTTGCAACTTGCAGTGATTTTTCCCTGCCTGGCTCTCTGTCTCTGGGTCTCCATCTCCACCAGTCTCCTCGAAACTGCCACCCTCCAGGCCTCTCTTCTCCACTGTCTGCTCTCCCGACTACTGAGCCCCGGTATTTGGTGCCAGTGGACACAGTGAGTTATTCTTACTCACCTGGAACTATGCACTGTTCTCATTCTAACTCTGTACAACACAGAGCCTCCAAACTCCGTAACTGGAAAGGAATGTGTATTTCTTATCACACCAAGAAGCAGCCATAGGCTTCTCGATGACCCTTGAACAGTCTTGGCCTGACACAAGCAGCACACTGGCAGAGGTGGCTCCGAAAGTGATTCCAGGCAGGGCTGCCAGCCCTTGCGTAGGATGGAAGGTCTTTCTGTGTCAACTCCAAATAGTGGTCAGAAAAGAATGTGGACACATTAGCAACACGAACACCCTTTTCTCATCACATGTACCAGCCATCCGGACTGCGTCTCTGGGGAAAACCTTTAGCTTCTCAGGGCCTTAATTTATATGCCACATAATGGGAGTTCAACTTTGTCTGGTTCAACATTTCATCCTGACAGCTAACCCTGTAGATTCTGTGTACACAATTGAAGCAAAAGACACCTTGTTCTGTCCAGGCTCTATAAAGCCCTCTAAAGGAGTGTATTCACTGCCTCCAACCTCTAGTTTACACTATTCTACATTCAGGTCAACTACTTTTTAGTTTCTACATCTGAGAAAGAACATTTGGTATTTGTCTTTCTGAAAATGGCTTATTTCACTTAAAATAATGGCCCTCAGTTCCAACCATTTGGCTGATAGTTACAGAATTCCATTTTTATGGCTGAATAATATTCCATTGTATACATGTGCCACATTTTCTTTGTCCATTCATCCATAGGCCCCATATGGTAAGTTCCAGTGTTCATAGCACAGTGGGATGACTATAGTTTAGACTAACCTATTCTATATTTTGTGAAGATCCAGAATAACGAAGGCTCCACACATAAATATGGAAATGCTTTTGATCAATACTTTGATCAGTGCATGCTATATGCATATTGAAATAACACATGAACCTCTGTATGTACAATTAACACATGTTGATCAAAATACAAATAAGATAGTTAAAAGTAGCCAGCACGTGGTACAGAAAGACAAGGCAAAGCCAGGCGTGGTGGCACACGCCTGTCATCCCGGCACTCAGGAGGCTGAAGCAGGAGGATTGCTTTGCGTTCAAGACCAGCCTGGGCTACATAGTGAGACCCTGGCTCAAAAAACAAAACGAAACAAAAAGACAAAGCAAAGCATGGAGTCGGTGCATTCAAACCCACAGGCCAAAACTAGGTGGCTCAAATGGCTCATGAATTTCAGTGTGCAGGTGAAACTCAGAAGGCAGACAGAGTGGGTGTTGCATCTACTGCCTACAAAGAAAGTCCCTTGAAGAGTAAGCAATCCCCCTGATTTCCCAAAGGCCTGAGTGGTCAGTGCTACCAGAGACAGATTTGACCACAGGCTATGAATAGGGGACCCCACAAGGCTGACAGACCCCAATGCTCAACACCCCACACTGAAGTCCCACTGGAAAAGGCATTCATGAATGGGACATAACACATCCTGCAGGGAGAAACTGAGGTAGACAGGGAACCGTTTCTCTCATAATCTTTCTTACTAGTCTTTCTGATTTCTCAGCATGATATGTTCTGAATCTTTTAGTAAAATGGAGGTTTCTTGTTTTGCTGCTAATCTGTCCCAAATGTTAACATGCAAGTAAGGGTCTGGTACCCATTGCTGTACTGAGCTGATAATAGGAACAGAGCTGATCACCATCTGGTTTAGTTCAGAGTGCAACTTGCTGCCTCATATTGCAGAAATGGACTTGGAAGTCCTCAGCATTTCATGAATGCCACATGCACAAAAAGAATTTAAACAGCACTCTCCAATAGGCATGTGTCCTTATTTATTGCTCTATAGGTTTGTTAAATATGGACTATCACATTACTAATTTTGGCAAATTTCAGGGTACATAAACAGGCCAAAACCTCTTAACATAAATTATACCCGAGCTGCCTAATGATAATTTACAAAGTCCAGGGTGCTGGCTTTCTAGTGTTACACCAGAAACCATTTTAGAAATAAGAAGCGAAATGTGAAATTGATTTCTTGTTGCATGCCTGCCATACCAGGGCTGCTGTTGTGGATCTATGAAAGTTATTCTACCACATTACGAATAAAGTGGAAAATCTGATTTACCTAGAACTACTATTGATTTTTAAAATAGATTCTTGACTCAAAAGAAAATGTTTTACAAGTCCTTTCCAGTTCCAAAATTCTCTGTTGTAAGTTACTACAATAATTCTGGAAACAATCTAGCTTTACACAAAGGAAACTTTCTTCTAATTATATTATTAAATTATCACCAGATAGACTATTGCCTAAGGAGTCCGGAAGTCCCGACAATGCACAGTGAGTGCTAAGGTCGGGCCCAGCATATTTTGAATACACTGCCCATACTCTGAGTTATGCCTGGCACAGAGCTGGTGCCTGCTTCGTGGAGGCAGCCAGAACTCTGGGAGGCTTTGAGCAACAACTTCCCCTTTGCCTGAAGGTTCTGCTCTTCAGCCAAGGGTGTGGTAGAAGGAATGCAGAGGACACGGTCTCCATACATGAGGCAGGAGCATGGGGAGCCTTTGGAGTGCGATGTCTGCCCTGGCGGAGCACCCTGATTTCCCAAAGATTGGGTGTTCCTTTCTCTAGGGATATACAAGGTGGAAATAGGAAAGCCAGATGGTGGCATGACCAAGAAGTCTTCCTTCTGACAGACCCTTCTTCCTGGTGGCTCAGTACGGAGTACCCAAGGCTCTCTCAGACTTCGAGAAAATGAAATTTGTCTCCATGAGTCTTTCTCAATTACCAAAGGCTTAGGGAATTCTTTACCAGGGATCGAACTTGGGTCCTTGTGCTTGCAAGGCAGGTGGCAGAAGCACTGAGCTAAATCCCCAGCCCAAGGAATTCTTTTTGAAACATTTGCCCTAAAACTCTAATTTCAACTATATTAATAATTGGGAAATTGTATTTTGACAAGCTACAGTAATGTGTGGCTGTTAAATTCTTGTAGATACCAAAAGGCCAAATCCTCTGGTTAAATGACAAATGAAGCATAGATTCGAAAGGCTGGAGTAGAAGTCCTCTCCCTCACCTTACCGGCAGATTGATGTGGGAAGGTAGTAAGAGTGCATCCATTTATTGCTCCTATTCCAGAACCTCTCATTTCTAAGGTCATCTTTGGAATGACCGTCCCAGAACCCTTAGACCTGAGCAGACTTTGAACTTCATTTTTCCTCTACCTTCTGGACCACCTATCTGCTTAGCCAGCAAGCCTACGCCCGTGCAGCGGCAGCCTTCCTCCTGGGCTGTGACTGCCACAGGAGCTCCGTTGAGGGCAGAGACTGCATGTCTGTCCTTTGTGTTCTTTCCTTTCCCATTTTACCCTCCTTTCTTCTCAGGTTCTGTGCATCCTGTCCCCAAGGCCCACGGCGCAGCTGTCCAGAGCACACTGGCCAGGGCACGCGCCCACCTGTGCCAAGGAATCCCCAGGTGGAGAGAATTCCTCCCAGGGAAGCCCTGCGGCTGGAGTGCACCTCAGCATGACCTGCTGCCTTCAGGAGCCGTGCAGATCCCGGGAAGGAGCAGGGGGCGCCCAGCACCTCGGGCTTCCTCCCTGCAGCCCACCTTCCCGACAGGCAGTAGAGCGATGGAAGAGCTTTCTATGAACAACAAACCTGCATGGTGCCCAAATGCTCAGGACAGATTTTAAAGTCTCTTCCAGTTCTAAAAGTCTAAAATAAATGTTCACAACAAAAGTCTCTTTGTGAATAGTGGTTGGAAATGGGGCATAGTAACAGGTTACTTGATTCTACTTGAAGTAAATTAAATGTGTGCAACACTGGAAACACCCAGGACTTATGCACTGCATTTCTCCTCCATTTTTTGCCCTGCTATTCCATAATCTAATTGTGTTTCCCTCCACTCAACCACGAAAGTTCTATTTCCGCCTCACGGCCTCACCTGAGTCTCGCATTCTGCTTGAAGCCTCACTAGTGCAAGCTCACTGAGTCGCCTTTTCACTGGTACACCATTCTCCTGCCGTTCAGTTCTGGGTTTAATTATGCTCTGCCTCCCTCCCAGTGTTAGTCCTACCCTCCCATCCTTGCGAAGACAAACAGCCCAAGGTCCCTCGCTCTGCACTTCTTCCACCTCTCACCCACTCTGAGCGCTTAGGCAGCTTCTCAATATCTTCTGCATCTCAGTTCCCCTCTAACAGTGTCAACAGCACAAGCTTACCTCTTGTTGGGACATCACCCATAATAAACACTTGCTGATGGATCAAAGCTTTCATAATGCTTTGGATAGTGTTTTTAAGTACTTCAAGATTATTCCTACAAAATGAGTGCCCAGTGAACACATTTTCAGAACTAACTGCAGGACAGTCAGGTGACTTGTGCTGACCTTTACATGTTGATGCTTTTAAAAAATCCTTTTTAATAGCTACCCTTGCTTTTTCTCTGCCTCTCTCAAATAAAAGAAGACCAAGGAGAAATATATCTGGGCTTTCCTGCTTGTTTCTTTCAGAATAAATCTACCACACCCCCACTTTTAATGGCTTGCATCTGCTGAAAATCTTTAAGTGACAAGGCAGCCAGATGATGATCCCTTTGCACAATCACAGTTCTCCCGAGCCTCACAGAAACCCCAGGAAAGGGAGGCTACTGCTCTCTGTGATGAGCACCTGTGGATTAGCAGCGCTGCCGGAGCAGTCTCACAAGGGGCCGAGAAGGTGAACTTTCATCCAGGTCCACGAGTCTCAAAGGTCCTACCCTGGACCACAAGCAGCAAAGGGCCAAGGTTCCAAAGGCCAGAATGGCCCAGTTCCTAAAGTTAGACCTAACTCCACGACAAACACAAAACAGTCACACTCCTAAAGATACTTGAGCATCGAAAGAAACTGGAGACCGAGTAGGAGCATGCCACAAAAGTGGAGTCAAAGCATAAAACATGACCGGAGGCAGAAACACGTGAGGTGACAGGGATCAGAAGCCCTGGCCCTTGCGCGGGCCTGCAGACGCCAAAGGGTCAGTGGGGACAGGGCCTCTGCCTGGCGTCTCCACCTCCTCTGTATCTGTCTCCTCTGGGACCCTAAGCTCTGGGTCAGGATCCTGCTCACCTGTGCGGCCAGGCCTGTTAACCCCTTGTTCACCTGTTCACCAGCCCTAAACTGACCTATCTTCTCACTTCCAAGACTGAGGGCACCAAGATAAGAGTAACACTTTGCAAGATTTGCACGGACAGTCACCGATCAGCTTTCGCCACATTCTGTTCGGACCCCTGGAGCAGCACCTGGCAGTCTTCAGTCCTTGCCCTAAACCTGCAGTCATTTTGTGTCTGTTGCCTCTCTCATGGCTGAGACACAGCACCCGACACCCGTAAGTTAGAGAGGTTTATTTAGCTCACAGTTTGTAGAGGTTTCAGTCCGGGGTCAGCCAGCTCCAAGGGAGGGTGGCAAGGCAGAGGGGCCTGGCAGCACAGTGCTCGCAGCATGGTGCAGTGCACGGGAAAGGAGATGCATCTTCCAGACCATGCCCAACCTCCTCCGCCCAGACCCCTCTCCTAACAGCAGTCTGCTCTGAGCCTGTAATCCCATCGCTTCCAAAGCGCTGCCTATGAGCTCTTGAGGCTCTTGGAGGACACCTAGAGAGAAACCGTAACCTCGTGGATTCCAGCAACAGGAGAGCCTCACAGACCCATCGCTCCAAACGAGCATCGTCCAGTCGGGGACAAGAATGCAGGCTGTCCCCGCCGTACTGCAGCACCTGTCTCCGAACCCCCATCTCTCGGGACGTAAGGACCTCTCTGGAGCCACTTGCAGACCAGCCCTGAGAGCATTAGCAACAAACCCTGGCCTGCCCAGCAACACGGTAGAAGCCAGCCCTTCCCTGTGTTAGTGGGCCTGTCCAATTCCCCTTAAACTGAAATCCCTTTCCCATTTTCTTCCTCCTCAGTCAAAAGCTTTGCCTGTGTTCTCATGCTTCTTGGGCTGATTTGTAATTTCTGTTACCACTGGGCCATCAGAGGACCCTGTGTAGGCCTTTCAGAGACACAACTACCAAACGTACTAAACATGAAGAGAGAGAGGAGTCCAAGGGCTGTATTTCAGTGACTGAAAGAATAGTAAGTGAATTAATCTGCAAAGAAACCCAGGTTTAAGGGAGAAAGGGTCAATTTACTTGGAATGATTCTAAGGTGTGAACAGTGCATCCCCATGAACATATTCAGTGGGTGTTTGTAGACTAGCATCAGCAAGTGTGGAAAAATGGAAAGTGCCAGAGTCCAGCTGAGAGTCTGTGGTACCCCAAAAGCACAAACCCCAAACAGCCACGCTGAAGCAACAGGAGCCTCTTTACCTTGCCCAGTGAACAGCTCCCGCAAGCTGCCTGCTGAGATCATACAAGCTTCAGCGTTTCCCTCAAGCGGACTAGTTCAAATTTCCAAACAAAGACCAATGTTTGGGCAATTAAAATAACCCCCATGTTTCCCTACTGTGGCTAAAGTTCAAACAAAAAATTAGCTCAACTAGAAAGGGGAGAGATTCAGTTTTACTTCATGGGCAGTGATGGTCATTTTCACTTGAGATTTCCAAAAAGCCTAAAATAATAGAAATATCATTAACAGACAACTTCAGATGCCTTTTGTGCATGTCAAGGGGGGAGACTGCCAAATGAGCCTTCCGAATTCTTTATAGGCCAGTCATAATTGCTGGTAAGAGCAGACTCATTGGGAGTTGATTTGGACCTCAGCCCTGCTGTTGAAGTTTTTGTCTCCTTCCCCTCCTTCCGCTGTCCTCTCTGTTCCTTTCCTTTCTTCTCCTTTCCCTCTTTTCTTTTCTGGCCAAAGGGTTCTTTCTGGCTCTCCTAAGTCAGCCCTCTTTAATACATTTCCAAAAGCAACACTGGGCAGAATTTCTAAGACTTTTTAGGAAAACCATCTCAAGGAGGGATGAAGGAATATGCAGGAAAAGAGCACCACTGAACATTGAAAAATCAAGACTATGTTCTCACAAACTTTATGCACATCTGGAAATTTATTTTCTTTCTTTACCTACTCTAGTCACTTAGGATCTAGACCAATTAACATAATAATGTCATTTAGCATCTATAATTCATGGTGTTGAATTATGTCAGGGTGCTAAACATTACAAAATACTATCCAGAAAAAAGTTCCAAGTATGGAAAGTAATTACTTCCTATGGTATTTTAAAAGCCTCTGAAATCACTGAAGAGATGAGAATAGCACATGCAGTGTAATCAAGTCCAGTATGTGACAGCCCGTAGTTGACGACTTTACTATGGAATATTATCAACACTTAGGAGATAGGATTAAATATTCTCCCTGGGGTAGAACATCAGCCACAAAAAATAGTGAAAGAAATTCTCATGAAAGGTTCTGGAATGGAGAGTGAAAACCTTTCTCTGCATTTTTTTTAATGTCACTGGAAGGTCTAAGGAAACTCGTGACGAGTCCTCAGTGGCGGCAGCAGCAGACAGAGCGGTGGCTGCGTAACCGTGTGTGGAACTTGTGCAAAGGCAAATGCACAGCCAGGGTCTACAGACCATGGTGAAGTCTTGAGAAGACCAACAGTCTTGTTCTGAATGTGATAAGAACACACTGTTGCCATTCCCTAAGGAATGACTAAATAAGGAGTGAGGGACAATGGCGGAACTCTGCTGCCCTTGGCTAAAAGAAAACAATGAAGATTTGACCAAGTTAGTGTTCATGGAGCTCGGAGAAAAAGGAACACTTAGAAAAGCAAAATGGAGTCACAAGGCCTTGTAGGTTCACTGGATGTAGATATGCAGAGGGGTTGTTTATTCCAATTTGGAAGGCTGCTTAAGGTGATTTCAAGGTTTTTGAAGCCGGTTCACTAGGTAGGGGTGCTCTCTGGAAGGACAGAATAAGTTCCATTGGGAACAAGTTGAGTTTGCCCATTTCCCTACTGCTAGCTTTCCTACTGATTTATAAGAAATATATTGTATTTAAAGTTATTAGAATATGTAGAATTCTATGTTTATGTATCAATATATAAAAGTACATATATATGTATATACACACATATCCTGCAGAGATCCTAGACCTATTTATCACTTGTTGGTTATACATATATTGCAAGTGCCTTCCAGTGGTTTATTTTTTCATATTTTTTATGAAGTGTGTGTGAACTTGTGATTTTGCTTTGTTCTTTTATAGTACTAGGGATTGAACCCAGGACCTTGGGATACTAGGCAAACACCACACTGCACAACATATGCTGTTATGCCATGACTTTTAACGAAGAGTTCTTCATTTAATTTGGGGTTTCCTGATCTGAGGGTTCATGTCCTCCAACAATCTGGGCATTGCCTCTTTGCCCGTGGCTCTGTACCCTTTCCCAGAACACTGGTGAACACCCCTTCTCAGCTCTCCAGGCTGTCGGTCTCCTCTTGTCTCTCCCGACTGTGTTGTGGATAATTTCTTCAGAAGTAACTTCGCCAATTTTCTGCTCTGTTCAGTTTGCTAGTTAAATTTCCTCATTGACTTTTTAATTTTAGTTATTCACTTTTGGAGATTCTGTTATTTTGAAAACCCACTTGTTAGCTGTTTCCAGAGTCCTCTTTGATCGGGACAGGCTTATTAAGTCATCATCCATGCTGTCCGACAACCCCATAGTCCACACTCTGTGCCTCCGGTGGGTCTGAGGTTGGTCTGACCTCTGCCCACAGCCTTCACCCCTTGCAGCCCCTCTGCAGAACGCAGACTGAAGTTAATCCTCCAGCAAGTTCTGTCTCCACCAGTCCACCTGCAGGTGCTCCTAGCCAAGACCACCCGAGGCTAAACTCTTCAGGCGACGCTGCTTTCAGACTCATGGAGGGCTGACTTGCACTTTTACCCTTACGGACCTCACATGAGTGTTGACGTGGGCAAGTTGTGTTGGTCAGCTTGACAAAACACCTAAGAACATAGGGTTGGGGATTTAGCTCAGTGGTTCCGGTGCCTGCCTCGCAAGTGCAAGGACCCGAGTTCGATCACCAGTACCAAAAAAAAAAAAAGAAAGAAAAACACCTAAGAACAACAACGCCAAGGGGAGGTTTGCTTTGGCTCATGACTTCAGAGGCTCAGTCCATGTCACTTGGCTCTACCGCTTCTGGGTCAGGACAGGACGTTGGGTGGGGAGCACTATGGAGCACAACTGCCCTCCTCCTGGCAGCCAAGATGCAGAAGGCAAGAGGGAGGGCGTGGGAGCAGAACAGCTTTCAGGAGCGCAGTTCCAGGCCCAGCTTCCTCCCGCAGGCCACCTGCTTCATTCCCACCACTCACCACCCACTGGGGACAGAGCCCCAGGATCCGGAGGTCCCACCTCCAAACTGCATCCTGGGGACCAATTCACTGCAGGCACCTTTGGGGACACTTAGTCCCCAGCTGTAGTTTTCTTGTTTTCTTCTTCACTTCAGTCTGATACATCTTCAGGGTGTCCGTCAGACTTCCTGTTCTGGGTGGGCCCAGAGCTTTAGCACTTTCCACTGCCCAAGGGGCCGCCGAAAGGGGAGCCCCTGATTTCAGGACTCAGCAAAAAGACTCAGAACAAAAACTAGACTTGAGATTTATTTTTATGGTTACTCTTTTCCTTTTTTTTTTAGACTTTTTTTTGGGTCAGTTCATCAATGCATTTAAAAATACAAACAATTGATTTTGGCTGGGGATGGGACCCAGAGCTTCCTGTGTGGTAGACAAGTGCTCCACCACCAAGCTTCATCCCAGCCTTTTTAAACAACAACTGAAAGAAAATTTTGCTGAATTGTCCAGGCTGTCCTCAAATTTATGATCCTCCTGCCTCAACCTCCAGAGTATGTGGGCTAACAGGTGCGTGCCAGTATACTAAGCTTAAGAACATTTAATTTTATCCAGTTTTCAAAGTCTGATTAAAGGG